CACACACATTGAACTCTAATGATTAGCACTGTGTTTGAGTCACTAGTTCAAAGTGTCAGATGAATGCAGGATAATTGCTTTAATCCTTTTATATGTAAATGTGAAAGAATAATGAATTTTAATAATCAAAGAATAGATTACAATGCAAAAATGTGAAAAGTTGTTTGCATTATGATGCTTCCAGACAAGCGCTGAACTCCTGATAATCTCTGGATGGGCTGTGGTGAGAACGCAAATGTCTGAGAGGCTGCAGACTTCCTCTGGAGTTTCTCCTCCTAGCCCCCCAGTAAAACCTCCAGAGAACGTCTGAGAGAACTCATGTGAGAACACAGCAGGAGATCCAAACCACAAGAGAATAAGGTTGTTGACAGACCCAAAACTGAAAGAAAAAGAAAGAAACATTTCAGGATGTAAAAGTCGTGCAGTACACGTAGAAGACACCGGCGAAGATGTCAAGAGAGCTTTTGGTGATAGGAGGCGTGAGCACGTCAGAGTGCAGAATCTCCTGCTGTTCATATGTGAAGGCAAACTCCAAAGAAAGTTCAGACCCAATTGTCTGGAGTTCATTTCTAAAAACGGCTTTGTCACTCCCTGCAGAAACACTTGGCACAGGAGAGAAGGAGACAAATATTGCAAGTAATCTGCTTTGTGTCCTCTCCTCCAATCACTGAGGTTGCATGGGTATCTATTGACCTGAGATGGCTCAACCTAAACCCAAAACTCCACCTTATAAGCAAAGGGACAGAAGCAGGTACTTACAGTTTTTACTTACACATATCAAATATCAAATTAAAAGGCCGGGATAAATTATCTCTTGTGAAAATTGATGTTGCGTGATATACAGATAACCATCAGTACATGGGTATATGAGCTTAAACTGGTAATTGGTGCAGCTGAGTGTAGCAGCAGCATGGATCATAGAACAGGAGGGCAGCAGTTTAGATGCAACAGAGGAACGTGGAGAAAATGTGAATATAATGGTGTGTGACTAAAGCCTTGATGACTTCTCGCCTTCATCCAATAAGTACAGGGACATGATTATGTCGATGGCGTGTCAGCAAGACGACAGTGTTTAGATCACAGCTTCTAAAACTCCCAAATCAGCAGCAACCTACAGAGGGAAACCAGTGTGTCACCAAACCAGTTTAAAAGTCCATTATACTCATTCAGGAGTGCACACATTTCAATTCAAGAGCAAAAGAGCATCATAATGCATATGCCCAACAACCAGGAGAAATGAGCTCTGCTGCTACAGTAATTCATAATTAATACCAATATTGCACATAGCTAGCTAAATACAAACTGGCCATCAGCACACACCATAATACTGTCCACAAGCTTATATGCAGGAAGCAATAACACACTCAGCAGCAACGACACGTTTTTAGAGAGCATTAAAATTATATTATTTATCAATGCACAGGGGTTTACAGCTTTTGCCCCCAGTTGCAAATATTGTCAATGGTTACTTTGATTCACTAATCACTTATACCCCTCTTCATACATCAGCAAATATCTATACTTACCACTCCACTACATACCACCACCGAGACTCAGCTATAATAATGAAGTAGACCCTTGCATTGGGAATAGCACTCGCTAAGCTTTTAATACTTTGAGTATATTTAAAAGAAAGTACTTATTTATTTTTACCAAAGTAGAAAACTTACTCATACTTGAGTACAGTGTTAGATGTTAGCACTTCCTATTCATCTGCTGTATATTTGAACCAAAATATCTGACATGTTTTAGCAAGAAAAACTCAGAAGTATTCAACAATTAACTATGTATCAATACCATCACTATCAACTAATTTCCATTTAGCTGATGACTCAGTAGACTCACACTTAGTTGATCTGAGCTACCAGTGATGTTATTAAACACACTTGTGATTTCCTGCAGTGGCCTGTGGAAGTCCAGTCAGCAGGTGATTTGAGGAATAGCATCATCTGGAGTTGCTGCAGTGCAGGTAACAAACATCTCTCCTCCACACAGCCGTCCAACAAGACTGCTGGTGAAACATGCTGATTCTAACAGGAGATTTAAATATCATCTTCAGCGTGTGCAGAGAACTGCAGCACAGCTTGAAATAAACCAAACCATTATGGAGTGTGTGTGCATGACGTGCAGCTCGTACATGTCATGAGAATGCAGCAGTGCTTGAGTTAACCAGCTCACTACTGCCCTCATGTAACAATGAGGATGATATGTATAAACATTTAGGCTATATCTAGAAAGGTGACAAATCAACAGGTACATTTAAATAAATTACTTCTATTACAAACAGATGCAGATGCCTTCACAGGAGGCACAATAATAATATCTGATTAATCTGCCAAATCTGCTCATGATTATTCGATTAGTTTATCTGTAAATGTCAAAAAGTCAAATACAAACCCTAAGATTAGTTTATTGTCTTGTGTGGAGAAAAGCATCAGCTCCTTATATTTTCATAATGATGAAAATTTCCCCTTGATAAATAATTTAAATGATTAATTGTAGAATGGTCTCAGAGAGTTAGATTTATTATTTTTAATATGCAAAAATGTCTAAAAGCATGTTTGCTGTATTGACAGACATCATTTATGTCGATAAATATTTGTACTGATCTTCTGCCCACTTCTCCAAAGACCTTGCAATGTGAGTTTATGAAACTTTAAATAAACTTGATCTGGACAAAATCTCCACTGTGAATTGCATTGTGGATTAGCCTTCAAAAGAAAACATAAGTAAATCACAAATTTTTTGTGACACTGGGCTGCCAGAATGATAAAGACTGACATTAAAAAACAGCTAAGCAATGAGAGACATGGCCAGGCCACGTTCACATGCTTCCAAAGAAGATGGTAAACAAATTATCCTGTTATATCCTGTCAATGACTGTGCTTATAAGGCCTGCAGAACCCAGTGGGAAATCACACAGAATAATGATTATAGATTCAGAGCCTGCCAGGGGGCATTTATATCTGCACTCTGAGAGTAAGCACTTCCCCTTTACTAGGCTGTTTCCAACAGGAGCTTGTGTCAGTGCACTCAAAATGAGAATCAGCAGTTTTCCCGTTTTTCAACAGGAAAATAAGTTGCAAAAATGTAGATTTACTTCCATTAATTAACGTTTTAATTTGTTTAGATATAATCACTGGTATCAAAGATTTCTCACTACCCCATAATTTGCATTACCAATAGATGACCTCATAGAAAAAGAACAAACTGAAGGTGTCATAAGGTTTAGAATAAGAAGAAATACTATTTAGATGTTAGTCAACAAGAAGTCATGGGCTCCATAGTCAGAAATGATCACCATCATAACAAGCAGGACTACACACCAACAAGTAGCTATTAATGTGATTGCACTGAAGGTATAAAGGAATAGAAAATATATAGGGATAAGATAAATGAGACCAACCCAGTCATTTACAGGAAGGTATTCCAACTTCCTGTTTATCACTTGGTGTTTTCTTGCTGTCTGTATAGTGAATAAGCACAAACTTAGAATGATAGTTACTATGTCTAGCAAGATTATGGTTGATGAACACAATATGATGGTGCTTTGAGTCCTGAATACTGAGGAAAGTGTGAGGTACAGACAGAGGCGGACCTCCACTGCTTAGAGATGTTTTATACCAGATAGTCATGTATGAGGGGTTTGTCAGTAGCACTTGTTCATAATTCTTGAACTGTGTTATTACTGTGTCTTTAATTGTAACATATTTCTGGGTTTGTGACAGTTGCCACAAACTCAGACTTTCTGAAAGGATAGTAAAAGCAAACTCAAACCAAACTAGAGCAGCACGGGGGTGCAGTGGGTTGCACTGTCGCATCACAGCAATAAGGTTCAAATCCTGGTTCAGCCGGAGTCTTTCTGAGTTAACATGTTCTTCTCAAGTCTTTTCTCTGGGTACTCCAGCTTCCTCCCACAGTGCAAAGACATGCAGCTGAGGTTATTTGGCGACTCTACATTGCCTGTAGGTGTGAGTTTGATTTGAAGGATAAGTGGATGAAACCTAACTAACTGGTCTGTTTCCAAATAATGCTAAAATGTATGGACTTATCTGCAGGACACTTGCAGGCTCTCATTTTGTCATTTATATTAAATCCTTTATAACCTGCACATAAATTTGTGATCCATTGGCATCAGTGTAATCTAGAAAAGGTGTAAACTCATGGTAATTTTAATGCATTGCTCTAATCTTTTTTCCCGTACATCAGACTGCCATCTTCAATGTAATAGACAGTATCGGGCTATGGTTTGTCTGCCTTTTGTGTTTTATCCACATGAAGACATGATACACAGTGTAAGGCTTGAATGTTAATTAACTGTCTGAAGCAGGAAGGGAGAAAAACAACTCTTTCACATCCATGAGCTTTCACCACGTCTCAAACCTCGCAGCTACGAGGTGTGATGTGTCTCTCCATTCAAGGCCAAATCTCCATCCTTCATGCTGGAGCAGACAAGAGATCTGATTGCATTATATTGCTCCTGTAATTTTCCATGCTGGATGGGGTCACTCAGTCAAGACACAGAGCAGACACTATTTAGCCTCAACTCTCGAGATGTGAATCAAGCTCAGGTTCTTGATGCAGCTCAGATGAACCTCTCCAGAATTTAGAGCCGCTCTTCCTGGAGAGGAAAATGCTGACTGGCAGGAGTAAATCCATTAAGACATAACACAGACAGTAACTGTGTAGTGGAGGTTTAGCTTCACCTCAGACAAGAATACATCTTTAGGGAGCTCAGTAATAATGAGTAGAATATATATATTCTTTGTAGCATCCTAGACAGTGAGGAATAGGCTGCATGAGTCTATGCAAAGCTAACATCAGAGAGGAGGGTAGTGAGAGAGAAAGCCTGGCAGAGATGATAGGAAAACAAAATATTAGAAAAAGCAGTGAAATGCATCAGACTCTGAATCCTTTGTTTTCCCCGAGTTAAAAGCTCACCTATCAGAGCTTATCTGCATCCTAAGTGGTAAACAAAACTCCAGAGCCGCAGTGGATTCACCTTCCTTTAATTTTTTACAAACACATTTAAACATATCCATTTCAAAAGAGATGTTTTTGTATAAAATATTTAAAATGTGCAAAAGCCTGACATACAAATGACAAATATGGCACACTTAAAGTAATCATGACAGTGAGATCATTCGGGCTAAAATCATAATAAACAATAATATAATAATACCTCTGTAATAATAATAGATAATAAACCTCTTTGACAGTATAATGGGGAGGTAGTGAGTAAAGAACAAAAACTATGCAAGTGTTTAAGTTAAGATATTTAAGTACTAAAGCCATGTAGGCTGACATTAAAATGACCAAAACTCTTAGAGAAACAAATCAATGCAGAAACTTCAAAGTAGGTCATAGTTTCCAACAGGGAAGTCATTCTTTGAACTGTCTGTAGGGATGTACTTTTGCCATTGCACTCTCTGAGTGAGTTTTCAAGCTGGGCTGTTCATTACAGGCTGTTCAGTCCTTGATCAGACATTTGACAAGTGATTAATCAGGCAGGCAGCCTCAGTGGAGCAACTGAAAGTTAATTTCCACACTTCTGCATGCAGAGATGAATTTGAAGCTTGTGCAGGCGGGGTAGCTGCCTTAGTCACGCTGTCAGGGTGACCCCTGCCCCTCACATTTGCTAGGATTACATCCAGCCTGACAGCTCCACGCTTGTCTTCATCATGCACCAGCACGCAGCGCACATCTGAGCGCTGACGAAGAGTTAAGTGGTGGAATAGGGGACGGCAGGGCTGCACGATGACACAGCTTGGAGTCGGGTGAAAGACAGCATCTTCCTGTACCAGACCAAGGTGAGTATCAGTCAGTAAAAGATGGGCAAGGGGCTCAGTGTAGGTACTGGGGCTAATGCACACCCGTACACTGGTGTACAGTAGTAGCTGTATTTCTCCTAGAGGGACAATTTCTTGACCCATGTTAAAATGAAGAAGGTAAACAAGAGCAGCAAGACTCTTCTGGAACTGGCAGCAAACCTTAAATCCAGCGTCCATCAGCAGGTCAGGTACATAAGTCTGCCATTCCAGAGACATCCTCATCAAGTCTCCGTGGAGCAGTGGGTGCTGAGAGACCCTGCTGTCCCCAGGGCAGATGGCATGAAGTATGGCCCAGCATAGCTCTCTGGTCAGCTTGTGGCTGTGAGTATAGACCCCCAGGATGCTCTCTTCTGTAGAGCCCATCAAACGCAGACTCTGGCCTGCTAAGCCTATGTGCACCTGCTTCAGCTGCAACAAGGGGAGGTGATGGAACAAAACCAGGGAACCAGAATCTGTATTCAGGGCATAGAGGCCAGTTTCTGCCAGGATCAGGAGAGCAGGACAAGGCTCAGGTTGGCTGCATTTAGCCACACTGAGCCAAAAGAGAGCTGAAATCTTCTGGCAGGCGATCACTGGTGTGGAAATGAAATTATGTAAAACATTCATCATGTCTAGCAGAGAGAGGGTTTGCAGATTCGAAAGGGTATCAGGAAATATAATCAACCTTTGACTGAACATTTGGACAATCGTTTTGTTCGCCACAGACCTCAAGTTCTCTTCGTCTTCAGATGCAGAGGTAACCTCCAGCACACTGGTATGTTTCACTGGCAGCAGCTCTGTGATCAGTTTATCTCCTTGGTTTGTATCAGCCATGTTTTGAGGCACATCCTCAATTCTCTCATTCTTTGTCAGGATATCTTTTAGGATTAGCGGTGCATCATCTGGAAATTCTTCTGCCTTGTTTATGGTTTGTGTTGGTGTAAGGACTGGTAGTTGTGTGATGTCAGGGGTAATAGTCTCAGCTGACTCATCAGTCCCAAATTGTTGGATCTCCATCTGAATGTGCTGTATAAGTGGTAGCTCTCTAACTGTGGAAAAAATTTGACTTTCCTTGAATAAAGAGAAGACAAAGCTCCCTTTCACCATTGAGAAGACCTGGCTGTCCTTCACCACAGACACAACACCACTGTCCCTGGCCAGAGAGACAACATGGCGGGCCCCAAAGTGCTGAAGTCCCTCTTCCCTGACCTGTTGCAATACAGCCTGAGAGCTACACAGGAGACGCCCTGCATCCTGGACCATCCATGAAACTCTGCTGACCAAAGAGCCCAGTCCTGAGTTTTGTGCTGTGGCTGCTGCAGTCTCAGTCGCACACACTCCCGGGATCTCCGCCCAATGTCCAGATTCATCCATCTCTCCACAGCAGAACTGGCCCTCAAAGACTGTTTGCTCGGGTGGATGGCAGGGCGCCTGACTGCTAAGAGGCTTTTTGTCGATTTGAGATTGAGTGCTGGTCTGTGGTAGGACAGACATGGAGCTGCTTCCTGTGCTGCTCTGCAGGTGGGGTGTGCTGCCTAATGAGCTCCCACTAGAGCCAGGTCTCCCCTTGTAGCAGTCAGCCACAACACCTTGGATCTCATTAGCATTCCCCTCTGGCTTCATGCCACATCCATCACCCGGACCCAGGACACTTGTCTGCTGGAGGCTGGCATCCCCTGACCAAACCTCCTCTTCCTTATAAGTTGAAACTCCAGCCCCAGTCTGAGCTTCTCTCCACGGCCTCTCAGACATCAGCTCTGGCCTTGATTTATGACACACCTCCCTCTCCTGGTCATGGCCATCCCTGGTGCTTACCCCACCCTGTAGTGTGTCTCCATCCAACTCAAAACAAGTGTGAGGGACAGGATGTTTTCCAGGTATGGCCTAGTTTACATTGTATAGGTGGATGGGAAAAGGTAGACACAATGAGGGTAAAAAAGTTTAACACCATAATTTCTAAATCTTGTTTGTTTAATGGAATTTTTCTATACAATAATTGAGGTCACTGCTGAGAAGCTTAAATCACTTCTTCAACCAGCTCCCTTTAAAAACATGAGTTTGTTTATGTATTCAATTATTTCTGAATTCACTATATCCATTGTCATGTGCATGCATGAAATGGAGTGAGGAACAAAAAGGTACATGTATAAACAGAGGCATTTCAAAAGTGCTCTGATAGTAATATGCTTTCACAAAATACGTGCCATTTCTTTAAACCCCTACAGGAAAGTATAATAGGTTTAAATGTGTGCATAATAAACAAAACGAACAAGCAAAGGGAAAACGTATTTCATGCCTCATAAAAATGTGTATTAGTCCTGGCTGCAGGGGCGGAGGAGGGAGGTGTTGTAGGTATTGACATTTATTCTGTTTTGCCAAACAACTAGCACTGCAACTAATATAATATCTTCAAGGAAAACTGTAGAATAGTCTCACTATATGCAAATTGTTTTCCAGCATAATTTATTTCTAAAAACACATAAAAGCTATATTTAATTCCAGGCGTTATTGATTTAATTTCCTTTTCTGTTATATTTATATAAAGGGCTTTTTTTAACTGTATAAAAAATGTGAATACATACTGTAGGTATGAGCTTCTCTGTTGTGGTGGATGTTAGACAGCTACTCTGCACTGTGGGCTCTGCCGTGTCTGCATCCAGCTTATCCATCAGACTGAAACACAGTGAAGAGACAAGAATGAAATAATACATTTCATATTCAGGAATTAAAAACTGCATCTTAATACAAGGAGGCATGTGCACAATACAGTTGTGGTTATATGCTCGCACATTCTGCCAGGCTCTTTGTTTTCAGAAGCCGATTTAATTATTTACTGTGGAGTGACACTGGAGACTTCAAACAGTTTGCCAGCAAAAGACTAGACTGCAACACCCCCCAATCCCTCCTTCACAAAAGCCATCCATTAGATTTGAAAAGCAAACAGTCCAAATGGCTGCATGGGATCAGAGCCACTCTGCTGGCTGTGAAATTAAATAGAATCTGTGCATGTTGATTTGGGGATTTACATACAATGCTCAGCACTCTGGAGGGGGAGCAAAAAATAAATATAAAGCTCAAAATCATTTCTGACAGTAAACTGACATCAAGATGGACACAGTTCAGGTCCTAGTGATGCTTAAAGGGATTTTTGCTGATCCTGAGGATCAGTAGTAAGGATGTCCTGCACCCAGTGACGTACAAGTAAATACAGAAACACTGATCTGGGATTGTCAGCCAAAAGCCTGTGATATACTTGTGTTTAACCACACGTATCCAAAGGCAACCACCTGCATTGTGAAATTTATTGTTCACATATTTGCTTACTATGCGTACTACTGTTCCAATTAAGGGCAGCACACCACAGACCTTAGACTAAAGATTGTAAACGCTCTACTCTATAAACTTTGAATCAGACTGATCTTCAGGATTGGTCACAATCGAGGAGATTAACATTTGGCTAATTTTAAGATTAAGACAGAAAAAGCAACACCCCCACGGAATTGAAGATGGTATGAGAGCACCCTAAATCAGACACATGGACAATTCCGGCATGGTCTCATGGCTTGTCTTCAAAAATCTCTTCCATTTTTGTCCCTGATGATGGGCCCACTGACCCTGTCAAGGACTCGCTACTGTCCCAACCTATATGTTGCATCTTGCGTGTGTCAGGGTAATTTTAGAGGACGTGCACAACCCACACACCAAACAGGCAAAGGATATATGCAAAGTAGCCATCTTGTGCATGCATAAGAGTAGTTAACATCAAGTATTCCCTAAGACGCTGACCAGATTTCCTTGGTACCGTCTTTCTGCTGCATACATCAATCACACAGAGGTTTGCAGTGTTCTTACTGTGGAATGACTGAGGTTCATTAACGTCACCACAGGGAGCACAGTTTGTCTCCCTCTAACTTACCCATTACAAGATTCTTCTATCCCTGCCCCCTTTGTCCTCTTCTCTGCTCTCTGTTGATGTGGAACCCCACTGCTTTCCTCTGGAAGTCTTCTTATGTCCTGGTTACGTCTGTTCAGACTTTTTTGGACCTGCTGCAGAGCCACCCCCTGTTGGCTGAGCTCCTCTTCCATCCTCGCCCTAGTCATCGTACATGAACACATGAAGAAGTCCTACAGCATTTCATACCTGTTAAAACATCTAGTACCATCCTTTACAACATTTACAGTTTATTTTGTTTTTCGGTTTTATGAAACTCTAGCTAAGATATTTGACAGAAGATGACTGATAAAGAAGATCACATCCTTCAGAATTCGATATCTTTGTAAGTTATATATGTCTGACTGCACTAAGACTTGTGGCAGGAGGTGGTAGCTGTCACATGAGTTCCTTGACTGATGAAAGTTAAGCAGTGTTGAAAACGCTATTTTAAGAGATGTAAGTACCGAACAACAGCCTGTTGGCGGTCTGAGAAGCCAAATAGTGAAGTTTTCACTGGCTTTCTGGCCAGAGAGCCAGAGATGGAAGATACTGTGAGGGATGTCAGATGAGGGACTCTCTGCGCCAAGGAGGCCATTAAAAGCAGCATGGAACAAATACCAGCTGGTCCACTCTACCTCTGGAAGCTCTTAGAGTCCTGACTTGCCTTGGATCCAGCGGGTCTTATGAACAGTCATGAATTTATACACAATACACGAGCATTGCACCCTGCCATTATAGACAAAAGGTCATTTCATGCCCCTGCTGGGAGTTTTCAACTTAGAAGTTGCCAAACTAAAAGCTAAGGAATTGAGGATAATTTAATGTTTTCCCAAAATGGTTTTCACCAGAAATCAATTGATAAAGTCAAGGGACAATTGTCCATTGACATATTCTGCAAACCAGCATATTAATAAATCCCACACTCAGTGATCCAACTACATTACCTTTCTCTAATACGCAACCTCAAAATTTTGTATTTGTAGATAAAACACCTCATAACTGAGGAGCAAAATCCTCCATTTGACATTGTGAATGTACTTGGAATTATTACAACAGAATGTGGACTTGTTGCAAGGCCGGGTGAGAAATCCTGCATTCGGCTGACATAAATGCACTTGGACATAACATACATATAGATGTAATCTTAGATAAATAAAATATGAAGTGGTCTCATGCCCTAAGTTCAGGTCAGACTTTTAGTCAATGCAGTTAGCCTCTCTGCGTCAAAACTCTCAAGTCATAAACTTTGTGGTCCAGCTGATGTAGCCGATAATGGGTAGGTTGCTTTTGTTGCTAAGGAGCGGCCCCTCAAGCTGCTGCAGGTCACCGATATATTGTGTCACTCCCACAGCTGAACGGATATTCACAGCTAAACAGATATTCACAGCTAAACGGATATTCACAGCTGAATGGATATTCACATCTTCCATTTTTATTCAATTTGTTCCCATTTACTACTGAGTGCTATTTCCATGATGATGGGTAAACCATAAGATCAATTATGCCCTTGCTGCAAGGGACGTGAAGAACAAGCTGAACAAGGGTGAAATACATATCTACACCCCCACTGTCTAACACGAGTTACTGAAAAGATGATGGTGCAAAGTAAGAGGCTAAAAATCAGATATCAGTTGAATGGCACAATTAATTACCCTCTGCCTAGAAGGTTATGTTGTCTCTTTGTGTGTTTATCTGAAAGCATGATGATGATAAAACTACTGGATGGATTACCATGACACTTGGTGAAAAACCTGCCCTTGGTGCGGATCTGGATCAGGGGGTGGATCCAGGTTTTTTTTCCCCCACTTTCTTTAACAGTGTGAGATGGGGCGTTTCTGAGATATTCACTAATTTCCCAGGGAATCGTTCATTGATTTTGATGGGAAAAAAACAACATTTAGGGGACAGATAAGTGTGTAAAATGTGGAGATTGCAGATTGATTGAATTTAAGGGGATTGTTGGGCCTTGGCAGAGGTAAACATTTAAATAAAGCTAATTTTGCAGTGTGCTAAGCATATTCACCTCTGGATATGTTACTGTATGTTTTTTATCTGCCATTAATGCCGACAGACTTGAGACAAACTCAGTCTTTGTCAGACGCTGACTCCCTCGGACATCCCTTCTCCATCTTTCACCTTTACCACTTAGGACGACAAATAGTAGTATTGTATTAATCCTCTACACAAACCCCTGGATTTACAGTTTAATATTTGAACAAATGTCAGGGTTGCAGATATCGCACTTAAAGCAGTGTGAACTACCAGACCGAAAGCACTGCTTTTCTAAGGGATACAGTACTGTGAAGGGAAATTACAGGTGAGACAGCTCCACATGATGTAAAACATCAGGTTCTTCCTTTCATTAGAGACGATAGGTGTGTCTCAAATTACTCACCACTTCTTCAGTGGATGGTGAATCACTAGGGAGTCAATTGGATTTTGGGCAGTGATTCAATGAACACTAGGACACTAACAAATCAATGACCTGTCACACAGTTCCAAGGCAGTGGCAGAGAATAAAGATGTCACATTAGCATATGGCTTGCACAGTGTGGCTATAGTGCCTTTTACTTTATCCTGATAGTACATTTTTATAAATGTAAATGAGTAGACAACACAGGTGCAAGCTGGTGAAGTAGTTTTTTCTCTTTTAGTCCATTCATTATAAGTGTTGTACAACTGATCTAAATAATCTCATTCAGCAAAATAAATGCTGTTTTTTTAGCAGGATTAGGCAAAAACTGTTGGGCTGATTTCTATGAAATTTTGTGGCAGGGTGCCGCATGACCCTTGGAGGAGCCCAGTTAATTTTGGAGCCTAACTCTAAAACCTTTTTTCACTTTCTTTGACATGGCGAGATAGGCCTGGTCAGAGGTATGCACTCTCCATACTCCTTTCTAGTTGTATCTGTAGATGCAATGTCTGCCTGTTGTGGCAGGCCTTTCTCCTTACAGAGTGGGCTACAAGTTTCCATATTTGTGAATAACTGCTGTTGTGACAAATAATCTCAACTCAAAATTCAACTAACTAGATTTTACAGAGCTTTCAACAGTGTTATGACTTGCAGTCAACAGGGACAGTTGTAAACCTCATGATGTGAAATGTAACATCGCACACTACATTGCCTCTCTTCCAATCAGTGCTTATTTTTTACAAAGCATAGTGGAAATTTTCCATGGAGCTGAACTTCAGGTGCACCGCAGCGATTTTGGAAATGGGACATGGGGCAGTTTACTACCTACTCAACTAGAGGCCATTTGGGGACATTAAAGGAGAAATGCTTGCTGTGATTTCCACTGGCTCAGCATTTAACAGTTCAGAATGGCTTTTTGCATGTTCGCACCTCTCCACACAGAAATGCTGCTGTGATTTATGGCTTTGATTTGATCAACACAGCCGATAAACGCTGCTCAATAGGCAGGCGTATTATGGAGATTGGGGTGGAGGGAGTTCAGATGTACTTGAGTCACAGAGTGCACACATGTCTATGTAAGTCTCACCCTGGTTTCTGCAGCATCACGTTGGACAGATTCTCAGTAGATTTGGACATGTCAGTCAGGGACAGGCTGAAGGGAGATAGCATCCCGCTCTGCAGACAACAAAATAAGACAGCACTGTGAAATGAAAGTCTGAAGGATGTTTCAGTAATGAGTGACAGCTGCCTATGGTAGATTTCTAATTACAATGGTTTAATTATAGTTCATTCTGTATGTCATCTGTATTCATGACAGTTTTTCACAGAACATAAGAGGCGACACTGAAGGACTTAAACGAGATTTGGAGAATTATCAAAATCTCATATCTGGAACAATCAAAGTCTTTACAGAAAATGAGGATCAGCAGCATGAAACTATTATATGTCCCTAAAATGAAAGGGTCATTCATGCTGGCTGGCAGGAGAGCAGCAGTAACACACTCTGGTCCATTCTGGTGGAGTTTTTAAAGTCTTTGAAAAGAGTATCTCTGAAATACAAGAGGAATGTCATAGAATTTGATGCTATTGAAATAAACTTTTAATAGTCACTTTTCAGAAACCATTGTAGTCTGGGTGTTCTAGCACATATTCAGAATGAGCCAAGGTGGAAGTGTCTCATTTGGAATTGATGTTAAAAATTAACAGCAAAGACTCTACTCAGAATCACAGCAGGGCCTGGATGTATGTACTTCACTCCGCTGTTACAGCCATCTTTAATAATGCAGAGCAGGAAGCTGCAGAAAACCAGAAGTACAGTTATAAAAATGATGTGTGAATCCATTTTACAACATAAAATGTTATGAAGCAGAGGAGGAAATGTCCTTTCTATAGTTTGTCTATTCACTAAGCAGGTCCTTTTCTTTCACATGCTGAAATAATTTATATTTATCTCACTGAAAATGTATATGAGACCAGGACTTAATTTGAAAATACAAAGAGTCGTGTCCTGTATGTCAGCATATCATATTCACTTCACGTTAGGTTATCCAAAACTTTTTTCCCCGACAACTTTCTCTCTGCTATAGAACTACAAGGAGTGAAGCACCCTTGGCCACAGTATTTGTATGCACAGTGTATCTCAGTAATAGAAGCTCAGAAAGACGCTCGGTCAAAATGCCTAGCTCTGTGTGTATTAACAGCTGTATTTTTACATTTTCTACCATCAATCTTTGTGTATTTTTCTTGTGTCCTTTACAAATTCCATAACTGGTATTTGTCAGTAAATCTGGCATTTTCCTTCAAGTCAAATGTTTTCTTACAGATACTCATCACTTATCACACTTTAACTGTTAACCGTCAGCTTCTATTGCAAAAGCTGGGATTTTTCTGTGATCCATATCAAAACAATCCAAACTACATCTGTTACTTGATGCTATAGAATATGAATAATACTTTTTATAGGCACTGTATAAGAAGTTTAGACTGTTCATTATCGAGATGCATGTTAAATGCATTTCTCCATATGTCAAGACAGGAAAATGAATCTTATGTAAAACGGCACTAAACTTGCAATTTTAAGCATTTTTTTATAAATTGGAAATGATTTAATTAATTTTTGTCACCACACACACTTGAGTTTTTGTTCTTACACCCACTCAGGCTTGGAAACTCAAATTTCAAGACGGCTTATTGGAGAGAAACACTGGTTGTGGTTTCTTTGGGAGCGAGTATGCATTCACACAATGGATCTTTAAAAACACATAAAAGTGAATGAGAGCCGGGAGGGAGCTGCAGCAAGATGGATGAAAAGCTTCTGGTTTTGAAAGCCGCTGCACCTGGCCTTCTCTCTGAGGTCGAACACTGTACAACAATGTGGAGAGACTGTTCATGATGTGCTGGTCTGCTGCTTTTTTGTGAGCCAGTTAATCAGTGTTTCATGCTCAACAGGCAAAAAACAAGCCGTAGCAGCAGAGAGCGGGCAGTGATTCTTATTTTCAAGTATGAACCAGAGCACTGTTTGCTAAAGGAAGCAGGTATTACAGTTGGAATCAAAGTGTGTGATGCTGACTTGCTTGTACAGAATTAAGAACAGATAATGTAGCTGTGGCTGAAAGACACTACCTCAGTGTGAAGGTCTGTCTGTACCTGGCATCTCTCTCTTAGCTGGGCAGCTTCTGTCGGGTGGTTAAACCTTAGTATGGTTCCACTTCCAAGCTGTATGATGCTACCTAGAGCAAGAGATAAAAGCATGAAAAAAACGTTGCTATTTAGTATAAAAGCTGCGACAACTACTGAATTATGCATCACACAGCGGGCATAGGCACCTGAGCAGTGAAGCAAGTGGAGCAACTGCATCCCCATTATTCAATTAAGGGGAGCAGAGTTGTGGCTTTGCTGTGCAGACTACTTTATGTAAGTTTCAGTTCTAGTAAGTCAGGCTGTGGTTATAATTATTTTTAAATTCCAGGACGCATCGCTCCGTGTAATGATCTCTCTTTTCATCCAGCCGCCCTGTGCTGTGCTTTCATTATCACGATTATTCTCTCATTCTCTCAAACAGGGTAAATGAGAGGCATACATTTAATCTAAGGGCTGGTTTCACAGTGCGTTCTAGTCCTCGACTAAAATGGTCCTTGAAGTCTTGAGGAGCAAAAGTCACCTATTAAAGGATGCGCATCAAAGTAGTCCTTGGTGGTGTGATAATATACTGTAGGTTAAAGGGATTTGCTTTTGAAGTTCTGATTATTTGTTCCTGGATAACATTACAACCACAGCAGCTAGTGGGGCTATGAGAAAAGCTACAACTTGAGTGTGTGTGAGATAAACAGACGGCACTGGAATCATATAGTTGTGAGCCCATTTCACTCATTCGGGTTATTATAATTTATTGCAACTGTTAGACTTTGAAGATACATTGTGAATATTAAGATTAGCAACCTTCATTGTTTTATTATCCAAACAATATTCTTGTGTTTTGTTAGGCTATTTCATTTATTCAATTTTAGAGATGACTTTGTAGCCTGCAACCAGCTACATAAGGTGTTCATAAATATAATATCAAATATGTAATAGCCATTCTTCCAATAATAACTTTCTCACTTATCCACCCATGTACCGTTGATGATGCATTGTTGGCTTTAGTTTTTGTCGGTGAAGTGAGACAAAGATAAAAGAGCATAATGTGGGACATTGGTACAAGACAGAACATCCAGAAAGACCTGTTATACAGATAGATATATAGAGACAACTGGCTTATTTTATTGTTAAATGCTGACATTTATCTCATTGGATGGGGAGCAGGAAGAAAGATAGAAAGGTTAAAAAGATATAACATTTTATTTGGACCTGTCATAATTTAGAAGGCAGATGGAGTGGGGAGGTCGAAGTTGGCATTCTTGGTTTTCAGAGAACCCTCAATTTACCTAATCTGGCCTAGTACAGGTAGTTGCTTAACCGGCATCAACGACTGTGAGAGCATCTGCCAAAGGTAAAATGTGACACGTTTCAAGATGGATGCAAGGGACAGTAAAGGGACAGAGTTTACCAGGAAACCTTTGTGGGTGTGGCACAGTGTTTTTAATGCATACAGAGGTGTGGAGCAAAATGCTTTGGCCATGGGATTGTTCCCGTCATTGTGGGATTGCACCAAACTGTCCCTTCACTGAACCGGTGTAAACTTAACAAATAGCACTTAAGTTCTACAATATCCTCCACTGCTGAGATAAAGTGAATGAATTGCTGAGGAACCCAATCTCCAGTGAGATTGGCGGTGACCTGGACCAGAGGGATGATTTTCCCCAGAGAAAATGGTCCAAGGAAACTTTAGATATCTTGTAAAGCTATAGAACTGAAGTAATATTAGGTTTCATATATCAGACTCCCGTTCATACTGCCATATCCACAGATTTTCCCGAGGTCTCGTCTTCATTCTCCACCCCCTCTCTCACCACAGCAAATACTAATCTTGCTGCTACTAATGACTTCTGACGAGTGACAAAGCACCTGAGAAGGAAGTCTGTGATGGATTCCAGCTGCTTTTGGACTGAAAATTACTATCATTTGTTCAAGAAAATGGCTTCAGATGCAGCCATTTCTGAAGGGGATATTGGATAAATTGAAATGGTTATAAAGAGACTCGCGTAGCCAGGCTCCGCTCTGCCTGGCTCTGTGTGCAGTTTTTATCTTCGGAAAGCAAAGCAGCGTGGATGAGGAGGCAGTAAGAAGTGAAAGCTCCCAGCCCTGGTAAGCAGGGTCGGCTCAAGGGGGCAGGAGTTTCAGCTCGGCTTGGCTCTGTCCTTTGAAAGGTTAATGATCTGGCCCACTTCAAACCTGTCGGCCCTATCAACTCCATCTGCCAATTAAATGGAGGGCCTGGGGCTTTGTCTAGAGCTTTGTCTGGGGCCTCTCACCCTTCAAAATGTTTAGTAAGAGAAATGGCATCTGCCCTGTGGAGGGCTGTGTTCACAATCCACTCATGTCCTGAGAGCGCTGCCGTGGGGGAGCCAGGGACATAAAGTGGATTTCATTTGCAGTTGTGACGCAGTGATCTCATATAACTGCATTCTGAATGGATGGAAGCGTTATTGCCTCCCACTGACGAAATAATTGTGAATAAGAGGGAGAGAAATCTTCATTATTGCAGATATGACTCCCCCCTACGTTCATTAAAGAATATCAAAAGCATATAATCTTTGCAGAAATGCTTACCCTGAGTGAGCTGGCGGGGACCGGTGACCACAGAGCCATTGACTGAACACAGTGCACCATCCTGAGGGATCAGAGTCACAGACCCAGCACGGTTTTCGAGCACACAGTGTTCACTGAGGAGCCCGGGCCCATGAAGTACTGCAAAGCAATTAAATATGAAAGCATACAAAGAAATGCTGCCAATTATGAGCCCAGTGGAATACACAGCAGCTGGGGAGATATCATAGTAACCTTGACTCACCAATATCCTGACTGCATGATGCTTTGTCACTCCCGATCAGGGTTATCCCTTCCTGCAGTGAAGATTCAAAGGTCATAACCTAACCCTAACCCAGTTGACAAAGTTAGTTGAACTTTGGTTGATTTCTGAGAAAAGTACTGATAACTAGAATGGCCCTCAGACTGTATACCACCACCAACAACCAACAGTCTGCTTATGAAACGTCATTTAATTTTTATTTGGATCTCCAAAATGCACACACCCGTAAATATAACTCCCCAAAATGTTGGTTCAGTAGTTTTTGCGTTATCCTACTAACAGAGAAACAAATGCTGATGAAAACAAAACTCCTTGGTAGAGGTAAACATGTGAATTATATAAGTGCAAATGTTGCATTTACTTTCAAATAATAGAGGATGATACCAGTGCTGAGTAGATCTTTTTCGATGCCGATTAGATGAGGCTGCTGGCAGTCCAGGACCAATCCACTCCCCTGTTTCCTCAGAGCCACAGCCTCCGCCTAAAAGACAAATGAGAATATACAGTTCGTGGGTTAAAAAAAATACTTACAATAGACTGTAGTTGAAATGGCACACAATAAAAAACAAAAATGCTGACAGACACTTAATGGCAACCAGCAGAAAACTGAATTCTTTATGACTGCTCTTCCTTCCCTGAAGGCCACATAGAATAGTGGCATTCCAACCATGTGTCTCCATGAAGCAGCAGAGTGGCTAACGGCTAGAGAGACACCATAAATCATTCAGATTATCGTGATGAGAGTCAAACTGTACATTGTGTTCAGCGAGTGAAACAGAAGCAGTGCCACCACCCACACACACACACACAGGTGGGTTATATACCATGCGCCATTGCCTTTATTGATACATAGCTATCAACGTTGTATGTTGCTATTAAAACACTCCCAGACTTGTGAAGTGCGTCAGCTTCCAAGAATATGAACAAACTTTAGGGAATTCTGTCATTCACAATGTGACTGAGTGTGTGAATTCATGGGCCTTATATGTGCACAGCTTAAACATACAGCTACAGAGCCTTTTTCCACATATATAGTGTATGCTAGTATTAGCTGAGGAGAGTTAATAACCAGAAAAATGTATCATCGTAATCTGTTTTCATAAGAGCATTTTTATGGCACAAAAAATAGCATGTGTTTCATGCATGCAAATGATAAAAAAAAACACTGAAATATCATCAAAACGCATTTTAATGCACAAATATTCTTAAAATATGACATTTTCCACCAATAAAGGGACCTCTGCCATCCTGTTTGAGAATATCGCTGCAGAGGTTTGCGCAGGCACACGAAAATTTGTGCATAACTTTTCGTAAGATGTCTTATGAACTGTTTCGTGAGACTACATTGCTCTGGCCAGCCATCTAGTAAAAAGTCAGCAGGAAGTCTGAGTGAGCTCATGTGGGAATACAGCAGGAGATTCTCTGCAAGTTTCACTGCAGAGTGAGTGGGCATGTTTCTACCACACGACAGACGCAAAGATAAATAAACAAGAAAACAAACTTCTCAGGATAAAAAACTGGTGCCGTACACGTAGAAGACACCAACGCTAACGTCAAGAGAACTTTTAGTGAGAAGAGCCGACACTGGCGTTGATGTGTCGCAAACTAACATGATTTCTGCAGCGAAATTAAAGTTACGTCCTGCCACTGCCTGCTGCGGCACCCCTCACCCAAACGCTCTGGAGATTTGTGTTGTGAATGTGTGTGAGCAGAGAATCTCAAGTTGTTCATTGTGTGAAAGGCAAACTCCGGAGAAAGTCCAGACCCAATTGTACAGACATTCTCCAGAGTTCATGTCTGGAAACAGTTAAATCCAAACTTAAAATTCTGACAGAAATTAATGTTTGCATTCTGCTTGTACAGAAACCCCTACTAAATATGTATTCAACGGTGTCACAGCAATGCCACAGAAATGCGATAAGTAAAGAAATTTATTTAATCTTTGAAAGCAATTTCTAAAGCACAGGACAGTCACATTTAAACCTCTGATCTGCTCCATAAACTGCTTCACTGCCTCCAACAATTGTTGCTGAGGAAATATAAAGCATGAGTCACACCACCTTTCAGCACGTGTGTCCGTCTGGAGGTGATATTGATTCAACTTTGTGTAAAATGTCATTTTAGTATTATTTCCTTCCAGACTAAAAAGGTATGAGTTAAGCTTTTATAAGGCCAGACAGACTGCAGATGGAATGGTTCTGGGTTTTTTTTGCAGTAAGTCTCAAATTATTTAACAACAAATAAAACACTAAGCCTGGGATGACCTGCAAAGTTAAAAAAGACACACTGAATCAAGCCATGAAGAGAAACCCAACTCCCAAGGCAAGTGTTAAAGGCTGGTAACCTCTTCCTCCTCTGGCACCAGCTGAGGTTCCATAACCCAGAGTCTACTCGAGTATGAGAGGCACTATCAGAAGTATTCTTCTGCTAAACTGGTGGACTAATACCTCACATTGCCATGGATTATCTTAAGTACCTCCCCATGAGGCAGAGCAGAAAATGTCATACATGGAGGCTTCACAACCACCACGCTGCATAAACTAGTCTATTTCAACCTCCTCCAGCTCAGTTTCATATTGGACTGGAGTGAGAGATGTGTCCAACAGCAGCAGCACCTCGCTCACTGCGAGATGGGAGAAATTCTTTTTTTTTCTAATGAAGGAGGAGAGGCATCGACCCCAGCCCCTGTACTTAATTAAAAGGGATTCTTCACAGACTTCATTAGAGGTGAGGAGCAGCCGGGCAGATAATGCACTGTGTCACTTTCCTCAGACAGCAGGAAAAGATGAGATCCTCTTATTTTCTCCTCATACTCACTCACACACATACCAAAGAAAGTTGAACGTCACCACACCCACACAGTTAGTCATTCAGTCTGTGTGTGTGTGAGATGAGAACAAAAAAAAAATCTGCGTGCAGATTGAGGCAGCTGGTGGACATACTGTAATTAACTGCGGCCTAGACCGGCAGCCAAGCTCATAGCATTTAGGCTTCCATTAAAAGCCATCATCTGTGGTTGGGCAGAATTTTTAATGGGTTTTTCGGCGCTCTTTGACAGCACAGGTTCCCGACTTGGTTAATATGCATTTCAAAACACTGCCATACAAGGCCAGCCATTGATTCTTTCCCCAACTGCCCACCAGCCTCATCCTCATCAAGTAGAGCAACTTACCAACAGAAAAGATGAGCCGGTACTGAATTCAGAACAAGAGGAAAAAGTTCAGCATGTGAATTGCTCTGTTACATTTAAAGGTTAATATCCTTGAAAGAGCTGCATTTAAATCCCAGACTGGTACTCTTTAGAAAAAGTGGGAGGTTGAGTGAATAATGCATAAAAAGGTGAAAGAGAATTACATGGCCAGTTTTCAGGCTTTTGTTTGTAATGATTGGTTATATTCTGTATTCCGCTATGTTAATTTCCATTTCTTATTCTGCATTTTGTTATTTGTACATGGGCTGCATGTAAAAACAGCCTCGATAAGGTTGTTGTTCTGGTATTCTAGTATGAATGTGTTGTGTAATCAGCTTGATATACTGTATGCTGCAGCCATCAGACTTTTTGTCATTTTGCACGGGTGGACAATATATCCGGAAATTCCAAATATTTCTACAACTAGTGTCGATTTGTAAAAAATGCATAATCAACACTGCTGAGTAATAACTCATTTTCCAAAATTTTATGAAGAAAATTGATTGAATCCGTTTTGGAGCCAAGATTTTCTGTTATGTGAATAATCAAAGGGAACCTGCTGATAAGGACATGTAGAAGTCCTAACATCTTATACAGACTGATTACATTGTAACTGCTGACATTGACATTAAACAGAACAAGCCTCAGAGCATTCAGACTTATTCAACTTATGTTGTGCCTTTGTGCTGATTGTACCGTGTTTGGGAAATACAAAGACGGCCAGGATCAAAGAAACACTGTGGCTCATTTTATCTTAGTTTCTCCGTGCATGGTTTGTTGAAGGGAGAAAAGCAACTCCACACATGAACGCACACATCTTGCTGTCTGTATATAA